GTAGTCAGACACAAATATTATCATTATAGGAAAAAATTTTAAATTACGGGTTTTTCGAATATAGAGTTGACATTACTTGTGTCTGCAACTTCGTACAGTTCTCTTTTAATGTTATACGACTATTCTTCTATCGTTCTCTTATCTAACAATTTGAGCCGAATGTTTCATTTCTATGCGTAGTTGGTCGATTCATTGATATTTTGCAATGTGATGCGTGCTAAAGATGCCACATTTGTACGTGCATACATGTACATATGTATATTTGTACAATAAATATATGGTATTTCGATATGCAAGAGGGTATTGCTGACATTTTGTACTAAACTCAGTTAACCAATTTGGCACAAAAAGAAAACAATGTCGTGATTAAGTGAGAAAAAAATACATTTAATCATAACAAACCTCAGTGTTGACACTTCCAAAACTTAGTTTCGTTGTTTGTTATTCCAATTTAATTTATTAATTTCCAATATTTTAGCTTTAGATAATAATAAATAACTATACGAAACTATGCGAAAACGTGTGTAGGTTACCCTAAAACACCTTTCGTATTTTGTTCTTGTTTACTCGGGCAGCACACTCACAAAATCTAAAATCGTATTTCATTTCTCGTGTACAAACTGAGTACATTGGCTGTGGTAACGTTTCAGTTGAAAGGCAACAGTGAGCGAGTTTGCTTGTGTTTTCTCTATTGGACAGTTTGTGAACTAAACAGAAAACCGACGACTGCTGTTGTGTTGTTGTTATTTTATAGCAGTAAGTATGTACACATGTTGGTTATGTTTTTTATTTTGTGCGACACAACCTCATTACTGTATCTTAATAAGCAACAGTCGTCAAGAATCTTTTATAACGTTCGTACATACGTTTGACAAAACATACGTTTGTTACTATATTGTTTTGTGTTGGAGATATTTTGAGATTTCATTGTCCAAACTTTGGACTCCAAAGGCAATCGTTTTATGCACAAAACAAAAAAATATCGAAGCGGGTTTCATTTAGTACAAAATTTGTAGTTATTCTTGGCTTTGTTTTGTCATGTTTTCTGTTTGTGAACGAAATGGAATGAAACTTTTGCTATTGGAAAATGTGGAATGAAACAACCCGTAGTAGTTTGAAGTTAAACATTATTCGTATACATATAACAGAACAGGCATTAAAACAGTGTTGAACAGAACTAAATTAAGAGTAAGTGCGTGAGAGCGTAACTGAGTGATCATCAACAAAAATGACTGGCGCAAAGAGAGACAAAGAGAAAACGTATTTGGCAATCACCGCTATCGTACTATTTTGTGCATTAGTGCATTAAAAGTATCTTAACATAATATAAAATTTATATTAAGTTAAAGTATTTTAATGTCTATTATGTTTTATATTATAAATCGACTGGATTTACATTAGAACTTTTTGCCGGGTTAACCTTCTCTATGAGGATTTTTATGACATATGGGCACTTCCGCAGCCACTTACACGACATTCAGAGGAAAAGTCAAATGTTAAATAAATCAAAAACAATTTAATTTTTTACAATTATCCCTTATCCCCTTTCTCACGCAAAAGTTACATGACTTTAGACACCATTGCTAATAATGGAAAAACGAATTGTGTGAATATTTTTAAGGATATATCAAGCATTATTAGGCTTTCAAAATGTTAAAATTTGACATATTCTTTATTGGCGAAGGATTTCTCTCGGTCACTCATGCGACATTTTTGATTTTGCTGTTTTTATTTCTGCAGTGTCTGCATTTATACAGGCATTTCACAGAAATGAATTCCGTTCGGAAGTGGAATTAATTCCGTATTTAGCTTCTTCAGAAAACAAAAATTTTTTTTCGGAATGAAACCACTTTTGATTTTGAAATTGGAATTGCATTTATATAAATACTCTGAAATTAATTTAAAGTTAGTCCTGATTTATATTAGGCGAGTTTACTTGCGGCAATTTTTATCGTTCTCTTTTGAACTTGCTTCATTCGTCTATACAAGGCAAGTCGATTTCAAAAATATTTTTTTTACATTTTGTGACAATGTTTTGGATTGGTATTTCAAATTACTGACACTACAAACAAAATACACAAAACCAGGGACCGTAACGGTTATAACTTATATCAAATCAGGTAAAAAATAACTGTTATTATGTGACCTAAATAAAAAAAATCCACTTTAATTAATTATTTTTTAACGGAAAAAATAAACATTGATTTTTAACTGTTAAAAATGATTTTTATTTTTTCCGTCAAAAATAAAAGTCTTTTTGGGATTTTTATTTTTTCCGTCAAAAATAAAAGTCTTTTTGGGACTTTTATTTTTTCCGTCAAAAATAACAGTCTTTTTGGGACTTTTATTTTTTCCGTCAAAAATAAAAGTCTTTTTGGGACTTTTATTTTTTCCGTCAAAAATAAAAGTCTTTTTGTGATTTTTATTTTTTCCGTCAGAAAATAAAAGTCTTTTTACGTAAATAAACATATAGAGTTTGGTACCAGTTATATAACCTTTGACCTAATAGTCAGGGGAATGATTCTTTAATTTATATTCATGATTTGGTACACTAGACTATTTTTTAAAAATTTATAACAAATATTTTTTACCTTTGATCTTGATTACTTATGTGTACACTTATTGTAATAAGGACAGAGATTTATAAATTGTAATTTTATAACTGATTACAAGTTGTATAAACTTCTTTACATAAAAAGAGTTTTATTTCCTGACGGAAAAAATAAAAATCCCAAAAGGACTTTTATTTTCTGACGGAAAAAAAATCCCAAAAAGACTTTTATTTTTGACGGAAAAAATAAAAGTCCCAAAAAGACTGTTATTTTTGACGGAAAAAATAAAAGTCCCAAAAAGACTTTTATTTTTGACGGAAAAAATAAAAATCATTTTTAACAGTTAAAAATCAACGTTTATTTTTTCCGTTAAAAAATAATCCTTAACATGGGAACTGAGAGTGTTTTCTCAAGATCACTCAATATCCTTAATGGGATCCTCAGTACGAATCTATTGGTATATGACACTATTGGTGTCCCATGACTCTAACATGAAGATTTTTTTGTTCGCATTTTAAAAAATAACTGTTATTTTCGGTCCCTGCACAAAACGAATTGAAAGAAAATTGCCGGTCCGAGCAATTTTTTCCAATTTCTATTCCCCTTGCCCCTCTCTCCATCAAACAAAGGCTTGCCGCAATTAAACTCGCCTAATATAAATTGGGACTAATAAAAATATTGTTTTTAGCAATAAATTCACATAAAAATTCAAATTTTTGGGCTTTTTATTTCAAAATTTTGTAAATTTTAGTTATCAATAAATGAAACCACTTTTTAAGAAATTGCTGTCGTCAATTGTAGTATTGGAGGAATTGATGATTTTGGATGATGCTGGCTTATTTTGTCCATTATCAAAATGAAGACTTCATTGTTTAATCGGAAATAACTAATAAATCTAAAAAAAAAGTTATTTTAATTTATAAATTTAATTATAAATTTATAATAACAAAAATACTCACACTGCATTGGGATAGGACAACGGGTTCGAAGCATCTCATAAATTTCTACGGCGTACTTTTTCAATTGATTAATTTGAACCTCAATTACAGAAACAACAGAAACTCCCGGCATTTTATTTTAAACAAATATTGTGTTTTCACTGGGATTTAAAGAAATAAGATTACTTTAAACCGCAACAGTTTTCCCTATTCTCTTTTACGTTGTTTTTAATCATATGATTTTGTTTTGATTTTAGCAATATTGCCATATTTCAACTAGGCAAAGCGATTCGTTTCAGTTTTCGGAATTCATAAAATCGATCGGAATCTAAAGAAGCTAAAACAAAATGCAATTACGGAATTGAAACCATTCCGATCGGAATCTGTGACATGTCTGATAATCTTTAAATTTGTATTTATGCTAAGAACAAGTGAGAAAGGTGTTAAGTTCGGCCGGGCCGAACTTTGGATACCCTCCACCATATGTATGTATACTGATAGTTACTTGAAATGAAAATGTGGGGAATATACCAACACCAACAAAATTTCAGCGCCCTATCTCAATTCCTTCAGAAGATAGCGTGATTACAACAGACGGACATGGATAGATCGTCTTAGAATTTTACCCTGATCAAGAATATATATACTTTATAGGGTCGGAGATGAATATTTCGATGAGTTACAAACGGAATGACAAAATTAATATACCCTCTATATTATGGTGGAGGGTATAAAAAATTATAAATGTGGTCTTTACTTCACGTATTTAAGCACAATTAAAGAAACAAATTTTTCGACTTTGGTTTACCTTTTTCCGGAAATGCCCATATAGGGCAGCAATAGTCGGCACTTTAAGGATTTTCGCATTTTAAACGTTTCACCATTCCAATTGCATCTTTTCCACTACAAATATTGTATTTAGGTTCATCTGTTTCGGAATTTTGTTTACTCCGCAATGGAATTAAAATAGTGATGTTTTGCCAATAGTCGGCATGTCATGTTTCTATGGTCTGCATGTCGCATTGTAGTTAAACAAAAATTATATATTTAATCGATTTTTCTGTTATTTGCATTAAATAATTTTATTGTGCCGACCTTGGGGTACCTTTGTATGGGGGCTACCAGTAAACGTGGACCTACATACATAATTTTTTGCATGGACATTTGGTAACCAAAGAGTCAAATTACAGCCAATTTGGCCTTAAAATGTGTCTAATAGACAAAAAATGCCTTAAATCGGAGATTTATGGTTATATGGGGACTATATCAAAACTTGGACCCATGGACCCCATTTTGGATTTCTATATGCTTTGGCATTAAAAACATGTATGCAAAATTTTGGCCGCCTATGTCAAGTGGGTATAAATACCCACAAATGGGTATTTACCCAATTTACCGGGTATTTACCCTTTGGGTATTTACCCACTGCCCATCCCTACCAATTGCCGATTTACATAATTTTTCGCTTCTTATAAACCATAAATTATCTGTTCTTACAGATTGTCAAAAAATGTCTGTTGGTACACACATTTGTCGTTTGTGCCGCATATCCTGCCCTGACAGCATACGATTATGTGATGCTACTGGTAAAACAAATGAAATATACACCATTGCCGTAAAATTCTTTCATCCATTGGTAATTTCACAAATCCCAAGCATTCGAATAGTATTTTCAAAAATCTTAAATTTTTAGTTTCTGAAAGCTGATAAAGAACACACGCCCAATCGAATTGTTTCCTTATGTACGAAGTGTTGGCAGCACATTTCCGCATTTAATAATTTTCAACAGTCGGTACTGCTGCTGCATACCAATCTGCAAACCGCGGCAGATAATGCTTTAGCTCGTGGTCAATTAGAGCATTCCAATGATGATCATCACATCGATATAAAAACTGAGAGAATACAAATCGATAGCGATGATGGTGACGATAGAGAAGTCAGTCGAAATCACCCACAAAATAATAACACCGGTCGATTGATTGTCAACGACTATGCTATGGAATTTCCAGGTGCAACGTCTACTAACCCCAATATATCATCGGAAAATGATGACAGTGTTCCATTTGCAATTGAGAACGTTAGGCATATCGACGAAGAATTTTCCCATCAGTCTGGGGATGTTTTTATTGTGAATGAGCTAAACGAAGAAATGGAAAACTCTTGCAGCTCTTACAATGACTACTTACTGGAAAGACGTGACATTCAAGATTCCTCAGACCCGGGTAATAACATCAATGTACCATATAGTAGAAAAAGCCGTCTGTCTCAGAATGAAAATGAAATTGACAACATCATAGCCAAATGGAGACCGACTTTACAATGTCAATATTGTGCCGAGACATTTGCCACATTTACACTATTGAAAATACACAATCTCAACGAACATCCCAATGATGAGTTCTTCATTATGTGTTGCAAGCGAAAATTCAAAGTTCGCTATCGCATCGAAGAGCATGCAATTATGCATCTAAATCCCGAGGCGTTCAAATGTCTGCTGTGTGGCAAATGTTTTACAACCAGATTTGGGTTAGTTACACATATGGCTCAAAATCATCCAGGGGCCACGAAGTGGGGTAACACAGACCACGTTCAGCCCAATAACTACCGTTTCAAATGTTCTCTTTGTGGAATGTCGTGTGCCGATGAAAGAGCTCTTCGCAAACATTCGAAAATGCACCTGAGTGGAAAACAATATCACTGTCAGTACTGCAGTAAATCGTTCAAACTTAAAAGCGGTTTGATACGACATTTTGCATTGTTCCATCCTGACAAACCATCGGTACAGCCATCCAGTACGATAATACAGTGCAAAGTTTGTCCAAAGACCTTTAAATATCGCACGGGATTGTATTATCACGAAAAAACAACGCATCCAGAGGAATTTGCCAAAAGACGGAAGAAAAACAGTGGCGGTCGTAAGGTACCAGAGGAAAGTAAATAAGGTCTTCTTATTGTGGTAGCATATACTAAAATAATATCTATTTATGTGTCTATGGAAATTAGAATGTTGTAATAAACTTAAAAATAACAAAACATGTCGATTTTTCTTCATTTATTATGACGCACAATTATTCGTTATGGTTACGTTCCTTTTTCATATTTCCACGAAGACTTCAGGTAAAGAATTGTGGTGTACTACTCAGAAGTGACCTCCTTCGTTATCAAGCGGAGAAGTTAGCTATAGTATCCTTATAACATATTTGTGTAAGGTATAACAATTCATTCGCGCAAATCGAAATATATTTCGGAACTTTGGTGCACCATTTACTTAAAATCGGACGAAACTATATATGGGAGCTATATCTAAACCTGAACCGATTTTTCCAAAACTTACCACTCATCATTCTTGACTCTATTCAGTACGCTGTGCCAAATCTCGTGCAAATCGAAGGTTATATAAGGAATTTGGTACACCATTTACCTTAAATCGGACGAAAATATATATGGGAGCTATATCTAAATCTGAACCGATTTCCACGAAACTTAGCACACATCATTCTAGGCTTAATTCAGTATGCTGTGCGAAATTTCGTGCAAATCGAAAAATATTTAGGGACTTTATCTTAAATCGGACGAAAATATATATGGTAGCTATATCTAAATCTGAACCGATTTTTCGCAATTTCAATAGGGTTCGTCCTTGGGCCAAATAAATGAGTTATGCTGAATTTCATCCAATTCGGATAAAAAATTTAACCTGTATGTTTACCATGGACAGACATACGGATGGATATTCATAAATCGACCATGCATTCATAATGCACCATAGTTAAGTAAAGAATATGGAAATCACAGTGATTTTAACTCGAATTTTCAACAAATATTTTAGAGTGAATGTATAGTACATTCGAAAAAATCAGTTCACATTAATATATAGTCCTAATATCACATTAATTATTTCATTTATTTGGTCTGCTCTCATTATTCATATTTCATTTGGGAAGCAGATAATTTTTTAAGGCCAATTTAGACAAAATTTAATGAGAACGTGAGAATTATTTAAACATGGCTAAATAAATTATTTTGTTTTCACAGAAAACTGCATAGTCAGAAGAGCTAATCACCTTACACACCAATATTGATCATAATTAAAATGTTAGTACAATTTACTTCCTTTGTTCTCTTATAGTAGGTATTTCCGAAACTAACAGTGTACGCAAATCAAAATTGTTCCAAATATAGTACTAGTTATGTTAAAAATTTCCAAAACTACCTACATATCCCAGTCCTACATATCGACGGTAATGTAAATTTCAGGATTCCAGCTCCAACAGATTTTTCCAAATTCAAATTGTACCAAATTTAGTACTTTTTAATACTTTTCGTACACGATTTAAAACCACCTTCTTATATCGACTCTACCGCTCAACTTTAATTCGCATTCCAAATTGCAAGTTTTTGGCTCTATCCATTCTCATGCTACGATATTGTACCAAATTTAGTACATTTTAGTACTTTTCGGATGCTTATAGTTCGAATATCCAAAAACCCCTTTTCTACATATATTCTACACTCCATCAGTGACCCTCATTTCATTTCATTTAAGAGCTCTAGCTGTACAGGTTCGTCAAATACAAATGGTACCACATTTAGTGCTGATCGTACCGTTTTAGTACGAATTTCCAAAAACCCAGCGTTATCTGTCACATTTGGACCAAAAGTCACCCTCACTCAATATTCCATGTTTCCAGCTTCAGCCGTTTCGTCTTTACTCTTTTATTAGTATGGATTATCGAAAATGTAATATTTTCACCCAACACTTCTCGTTAATAATAATGACCGGTACTAATAAAACATTCATGCTTTTTTCCTGGGCAGATCTCCTTCCTTGTGTAAAATTTTGTGTTGTTAGGGTCATTATTGTGATATGTAGAGCGATCCCCCAAATATCATTAACCAAACCTACAGGTGTCACCAGCACCGAACCTATGGTTCATAGCAACAGAGTATAATGGACAGACGGACGGACGGACAATCATGTCTACATCGACTCAGATATTTGAGATGTGACAATGGGTTTGACAACTCTTGGGCCTATTATAAACATACCTTAAATATAAAAAAAAATATTGATTTGCGGGAAATAAACAAATGCTTAAGATCCGCCCAAGCCGTAAATTCTATATGCGCACTTTTTGGGCATAAATACTCCCTATCGGTATTGGATGCACAATTTCTCTAAATCGGACTAATATATATCGCACGATGTCGCGAGTTCATATTAACAGCGGCCAAAAATGGAAGGAGTCATCGTAGGTGGATTAAATTTGGTACAAGTTCATATTATTGGCCTAATAGCAAGACAAAAGATTTGGTATACCTCCCATATAGTGGGTCTAGAGATTTGCAATGAAAATTGGCAATTTTATCTACTTATGTCTGTAAAGCAACTGACAAAAAACTGGATAGATCGGACCATACAAAGGGTCTTGAAAAATTCGCTGAAAATTTACAGTTTATTTTGTTTTTGCAAAATAGTCAGGCTGAATCCCAGTTTGTTGTTTTTATAAAAAAAAAAAACAACTATTTATTAGTGGGGAATGTATGGCATTGTTTGCCGAGGGGTAAGGCAGGGAAGACTATAGTTTCGGATCACGCTACTGATCCTCATCAGTTCCCTTAGTTTTTTGTTGGGATATTCTCCCCAAACTCGTTCAAACTTAAAAGCGGTTTGATACGACATTTTGCATTGTTCCATCCTGACAAACCATCGGTACAGCCATCCAGTACGATAATACAGTGCAAAGTTTGTCCAAAGACCTTTAAATATCGCACGGGATTGTATTATCACGAAAAAACAACGCATCCAGAGGAATTTGCCAAAAGACGGAAGAAAAACAGTGGCGGTCGTAAGGTACCAGAGGAAAGTAAATAAGGTCTTCTTATTGTGGTAGCATATACTAAAATAATATCTATTTATGTGTCTATGGAAATTAGAATGTTGTAATAAACTTAAAAATAACAAAACATGTCGATTTTTCTTCATTTATTATGACGCACAATTATTCGTTATGGTTACGTTCCTTTTTCATATTTCCACGAAGACTTCAGGTAAAGAATTGTGGTGTACTACTCAGAAGTGACCTCCTTCGTTATCAAGCGGAGAAGTTAGCTATAGTATCCTTATAACATATTTGTGTAAGGTATAACAATTCATTCGCGCAAATCGAAATATATTTCGGAACTTTGGTGCACCATTTACTTAAAATCGGACGAAACTATATATGGGAGCTATATCTAAACCTGAACCGATTTTTCCAAAACTTACCACTCATCATTCTTGACTCTATTCAGTACGCTGTGCCAAATCTCGTGCAAATCGAAGGTTATATAAGGAATTTGGTACACCATTTACCTTAAATCGGACGAAAATATATATGGGAGCTATATCTAAATCTGAACCGATTTCCACGAAACTTAGCACACATCATTCTGGGCTTAATTCAGTATGCTGTGCGAAATTTCGTGCAAATCGAAAAATATTTAGGGACTTTATCTTAAATCGGACGAAAATATATATGGAAGCTATATCTAAATCTGAACCGATTTTTCGCAATTTCAATAGGGTTCGTCCTTGGGCCAAATAAATGAGTTATGCTGAATTTCATCCAATTCGGATAAAAAATTTAACCTGTATGTTTACCATGGACAGACATACGGATGGATATTCATAAATCGACCATGCATTCATAATGCACCATAGTTAAGTAAAGAATATGGAAATCACAGTGATTTTAACTCGAATTTTCAACAAATATTTTAGAGTGAATGTATAGTACATTCGAAAAAATCAGTTCACATTAATATATAGTCCTAATATCACATTAATTATTTCATTTATTTGGTCTGCTCTCATTATTCATATTTCATTTGGGAAGCAGATAATTTTTTAAGGCCAATTTAGACAAAATTTAATGAGAACGTGAGAATTATTTAAACATGGCTAAATAAATTATTTTGTTTTCACAGAAAACTGCATAGTCAGAAGAGCTAATCACCTTACACACCAATATTGATCATAATTAAAATGTTAGTACAATTTACTTCCTTTGTTCTCTTATAGTAGGTATTTCCGAAACTAACAGTGTACGCAAATCAAAATTGTTCCAAATATAGTACTAGTTATGTTAAAAATTTCCAAAACTACCTACATATCCCAGTCCTACATATCGACGGTAATGTAAATTTCAGGATTCCAGCTCCAACAGATTTTTCCAAATTCAAATTGTACCAAATTTAGTACTTTTTAATACTTTTCGTACACGATTTAAAACCACCTTCTTATATCGACTCTACCGCTCAACTTTAATTCGCATTCCAAATTGCAAGTTTTTGGCTCTATCCATTCTCATGCTACGATATTGTACCAAATTTAGTACATTTTAGTACTTTTCGGATGCTTATAGTTCGAATATCCAAAAACCCCTTTTCTACATATATTCTACACTCCATCAGTGACCCTCATTTCATTTCATTTAAGAGCTCTAGCTGTACAGGTTCGTCAAATACAAATGGTACCACATTTAGTGCTGATCGTACCGTTTTAGTACGAATTTCCAAAAACCCAGCGTTATCTGTCACATTTGGACCAAAAGTCACCCTCACTCAATATTCCATGTTTCCAGCTTCAGCCGTTTCGTCTTTACTCTTTTATTAGTATGGATTATCGAAAATGTAATATTTTCACCCAACACTTCTCGTTAATAATAATGACCGGTACTAATAAAACATTCATGCTTTTTTCCTGGGCAGATCTCCTTCCTTGTGTAAAATTTTGTGTTGTTAGGGTCATTATTGTGATATGTAGAGCGATCCCCCAAATATCATTAACCAAACCTACAGGTGTCACCAGCACCGAACCTATGGTTCATAGCAACAGAGTATAATGGACAGACGGACGGACGGACAATCATGTCTACATCGACTCAGATATTTGAGATG